TCCATCACGGTTACGAGCAACCCTCCTCAAAAAGGCAGCCAAAGCCTAATTTGATTTCTGTTTTATATTTTCATCAACCAACACATAAAATATGAGACTCTTTCTTTCCATTTTTTCCCTGGGGGGCCATGCCTCTGACCCAGCTCTCCACCTCTCTAACTCTTCTACATTCCATCCATAAGCAAAAAAGATCCCTATCACCTCTATACTTGTCTATTCTTACCTCCAATTCCTCAACGTCAGATGGTATGTTTTCTGTCCCCTTCGCTTCCTAACACAGCATCCATATCACTGCTCTCTATTTTGTAAATATCTCCTTCTCTCTTAAAGCTCTAGTTGGTTGAATTTACCACCCTCTTTCTCTTATGGTTTAAATCTACCACTCTCAGGGCTGGCAGGTGCCATGGTGGTTAAGGGCGCTGGTCTCCCACGTGGTCAACCATGGTTGGAGTACGGGGCCTGGCAGCTCGCTTTCTCACCTTCCATCTCTCTTGCTCTCTCTCACTCTGTCCCTCTCTGGTCAAATTTAAATAAATAAATAAATAAATCTTTTTTTTTTTTTAATCTATCACTCTCTTGGACACGTGTCAACATTCACTGTGTTCAGTTTTCCTCTCTACCCCTACTGTTGCCATTCTAGCGAGTTTCTTCAAAGCCCATAGGCATATTCTGTCCAACACCCTGTACTGTCAATCCCCTAACTTCTTTTCAGGCTTTCTATAGTTCATGCCATTTAGTCACCCCCAGGGCTCTGCCATCTCCTGGAACTACTATACCTCCAAACCCACTGATTCCGGCATATCACTCACTCCCTGACCACACCATATCTATCCTCCCAGATTAGTTTTCTGAACACAACTAAAACTATTCTTCGAAGGCATCACTATCTTCACTGATCCCTCTGCAGTTTCTGTATTTACTAGCTCCCTCCTGTCTTCACTTTCTTCCTTATTCAATTGAGACTCCAAGGTATATCATTTCATTTTGTATCATTTCAGTAAGTACCCACTGAAGAAATAAGCAATCACTGCTTCTTTCTCAGACTGACTGAATTCTCCAATCGAATTCTCCAGCTTCTTTCCAGTTTTTCTGCTTCTTCTAATCTAGTCTTTCTAACCTCATGTGCTCCTTCCCATTTCAAGGTTCTCATATTTTGTTCTCACTGTAACGTCACCTTTGTCCACTTTTCCCATCCAACTTCTATTCACTCTTCCTATTTCAACTCGAGTGTTACTTTCTCAGGAACTAACACTAACTCCTAAGACTACATAAGTCCTCCTGCTATGTCAGCCTGTTCTTTCCTTTTGAAGTTTTTTTTTTGGGGGGGGGCGGGGGGTTTGCAATAGAGCAAGTACACTTGCTAGAGAGACAGAGAGGGAAAGTGAGAAATCACCCTCCAGAGGGAGGACCACACCACAATCTCTCTTCCTCCATTCTCCTCTCAAGACTTTGGGCACGCATATACACGTGACCAGTTTTAAGCCACCAGGTCCTGGACTTGAAGCACAGTTGACCATGGGGGAGTCCAGCGCCTTAACCACCATACTACCTATTAGCCCCTGAAGCACTTATAACTTCTAATTATTTGTATGATCATGTCTGCTAAACTATAAACTCCACAGGAACAGGGACCAAATCTATTTTATTCATTTCTAATTCCTCGGAACAGGGTCCAGTATACAATGTGCTCAATAAATATCTGAAATAAATGTCCTCCATAAGTGATTCCCAACCTCAGCCTTGAAACTTTTAAAAATATACATGTCCATAACACACCTCTAAAGATTGTGATGCAATTGGAGTGTGGCATATACCAGACTGGAACATTTTTCACAAGCTCCATACATGATTCTGATGCGTAAACCACATTTGAGATCTACTGTTCCACAAAATCATGGCTCAGAACTGAGAGAGACTTCTGAAATCACCTGTTCTAGTCCACTCGATTCACACATGAGGAAAAGTAAATGATTTCTATTTTGTTTTCATGTGTTATATATCACTAAATTGTTCTTTCACATGAATTTCCCTTTTTAATTCATTCCTCCCATTAATTTCTTATTGGCCTGTCAGAAGTCATGATATATTTTTTCTGTTTTTCTATGCAAAAATGTGTCATGACTTTTTCGACAACCTAACATTTATTTGACAAAATACTTCACTGACAAGGAAACTGAGTTATTTCTACCTTGTTTTCATTTATAAATACTATATCACTAAATTCTTTTGCTTATTTTCCCTTTTAATTTTTTATTTTATATGACAAACTAAATTACCTTCACTAGTATCCTAAGTGTCCCAATCACAACAGAAAATGCATTATTCACAATCTACATGAACGTTTGAAAATGAAAACATACCGTTCAATTATAATACATAGTATAAACTACTGTTTTTTCACACTTCATTACCATAAAATTCAAACTTCAAAATCTTAACTTCAGTTATTCCAGTAAAAAACAATTCTAAAGAAGGTAAACTATTTTACTTTCCATATTAAATAATCTGAAAACTAATTTTCTTTGAAAAAAGCAAAAATTATAGCAAACTTCATTTTCCAAAACAGCTATAATATGAATAGTAAGTTCAAGAAATGAAGGAAGAAAAAAAAAAAAAAAAGCAGTATTTCTCTTTTTCATATAATGTGGAAATACCACTTTTTTTAATCTGGAGGACCTGGAAGTTCACACTGTTTGGGGCCTAAATTCTTCTACTAAATATTTTAACTTCTTGTGTCAGTTACTTAAAAAAGGTAAGTGAGAATTCCCAGGGGATTTCATAAAAGTAAAAATGTCCCCTAAATAACCTGTAACTCTATTCTTCCAAAAACATTTATTCAGGATCTACTTAGTGCAAGGCTCTATAATACCAGGTCATCACAAAGCAGGTATTATCAGGATCCAACTAAAGAAATCCTTGATGAAGAAGCAAATGCAGTTTAAAGAAAGAATAAAAGGAAAGTAGCTGGCTGGCTCAAGCTCCACAAAAGCACTGCAAAGGCACAGTTTATCCTATCAAAATTCCAGCATGTAGCTGGGCAAACAACTGTGCAGATGGCTCCATTCTTTAATTAACTGTATTGTCAACTATTTGGCCCTATAATTACTTCTGTACACTCTCTTTTTCTGAACTTGTCTTCTTGTATTCTTTCATTCAAACACTATAGTGATGGACTTTGTTCTGGGGTCTGCTGGAAATATTGTATCAGTGAACAAAACAGGCCAGGCACCTGTTTTACTGGAACTGCAAAGGCAGAGGGAGGAAAGGAGGCCGAAGGGGAGTTCAAGAGACAGACAGGTGAGTAAACAAGATAATCTGGGATAGGGGCAGGGAGAAAAACAGAAAACAGAATGAGGCTGAGAGGGAGTTTGTTGCACATAGTAATCCCCATACCTGGAAGTATTAACATCACTCCTACCTCCACCTAGGAGCTTTAGTATCACTTACTACCCTGAATTGCAAATAGCAGTACCGTAAATTCTTTGTAGCCTTCATGACTATGTAAAATAAAGTAATCCGAAAACGGTTCTCCCCCTGCCTCGCACGTAAATATGCATTAATGAACATCCATTAACACCAAGTTAATATGTTGTTAACGAATGGATTAAAGAGCTGAATGAATGGACTCCGGCTGAACTAAAACACTCTCTGGTTAA